AGGAAAGGAAAGGAAAGGAAAGGAAAGGAAAGGAAAGGAAAGGAAAGGAAAGGAAAGGAAAGGAAAGGAAAGGAAAGGTAATAGGGGGTTGAAACACCACCACCACAACCCCAAAGTTAATTATTTAAAACAATTTTGGACAGAAGGAGAAAGCAGAGAAATGACAAACCCACTCAAATATAAACTTTAAACTTGGTTTTGGACTTGAAATAGAAACCAACATTCTGAAGGAATTATTCTGCTTGAACTTTTTCCAGCTAATATATCTTAACTCCCCAAAACAGCACTTGTTCTTACTGATAACTGATAACCTAACCTTGACTGTGCAGGAAGTTTTAATTAACCAACTGCCATAAATCAGAATTTGGAAAAGTAGGAGGCAAAGAGAAATAGAACCTGACTGTTTGCAAGTTTGTTTCAAATGATATATTCTGAGCAGCTACAATTGACCGGACCTGGAAGCTGGCAAGGGAAAGAATAATAACTGAATAATAACAGAATCAAGGACTGGGAAACACGAAGGGTTCTTTTTCTTATTTTGTTTTTCTTTTCTTCTTTTTTTCTCTTGGCAAAAGATTAAGATGGCCCCAGCTTCTCTTCCGGTTTGAATTAAATTTAAGGTGGACCAGAATCTCAAAATAAGTCTTGTATAACTAACTGCAATTTTGGAACTGAACACTAAGGAAGAACAAAAGACTAAGATGACTCCCATCGTTCTCCCCCACAGCAACTGAAGCAGACAAATTTAAAGTGGAACAGAACTCTGAAATAAGAACTATATAACTAACTGTAACTTTGGAACTGGATATCATGGAAAACTGGGGATTTGAAGAACTATGTGAAATTATAAATAATATGCATAAATCAGTAAAATCAGTAAAATCAAGCCTAAATAGAATTCTGAATCCAGAGAAGCAGATATCTAAAGAATTTAAAGAAGGAGGGAGGCAAAACAATGAAGGAGTAGAAACGGAGGGAAATAAAAAGCAGGCAAAAATCTCCATTGGTCCTGTCAGTGGTGTAGGGAAAATTGTGAAAAGGGGAGGTGTCCAAACAAAAGGAAATAAAAAGCGGACAAAAGTGGTTTTGGAGGTTGTTAGTGGCATAAGGAAAATTAAAGTAGGAGATTATGTCCCAACAAAGAGAAATATAAAATATTCTTTTGACCTGGGGAAAATTGAAGAGAGGGGATGTGTTAAAATAAAGAAAAGAAGTCAGGAACAGAGAAGTGGGACAAAAGACTTGCTAGGAAAAAAACAGATAATTAGAAATCTGTGGGAAAATATAAAGTTAAGATAAGGACTTTATTCCTAAACAATGACAATAAAATGGAGTTGCTAATTGGTTGAATATGATAATGGAAAGATAGCTAAATAAAGATTAAAATATATGGAATATAGATAAATATGAAACTGATATGGGGAGTGGTAAAGCAGAGGTTTGTGATCCAACTTTTTAACATGATAATTAAATTGAGTTGCGAATTGATTGAATATGACAATAGAAGGAAAACTAAGCATAGGTCAAAATATGTTTACCGCTCGTTATTTTATATAATAGATTAAGGGAAGTGTAACAAACATTGAATAGCGAGGGTTGCCATCTAGATACAATTAAGGGTAATCCAATCCAAGATATGGAAAAATGGAGAGGGAACATGAAATATACCTACAATGGGAAACTATTGAGATAAAAAGACAAGAATCACAAATTGGGGGCATGTAAGGATGTATAATTATATAAAGATGATGATGAGAATAGCGCGGAATTGTAACCTACATCTCAAACAAAATTGTCAGTTGGTCTTACCTGAATGCATGTCTGGCTGACAGTGCATTAATCTCTGACACCCTCCTGGCGGAGGTAATAGCTACAAGGAACACTGCCTTGAGTGTGAGCAGCTGAAGACTCACCTCCCTTAGCGACTGTAAGGGTGCTTCCAGAAGTGCCTAGAGCACTGTGGGCAGGTCCCAAGAGGGAAAACGGTGAATCACCAGGGGCCGGAGGTTGGCGGCTCCCCTGAGGAACCATTTGATGACAGAAGTTGGGACAAGGACTGTGTGCCCACCCACCCCCAGGACGGTGGCCAGGGCTGAGACCCGCCTTCTGAGGGTTTTAGGAGCCAGACCCTTCTCCAGTCCATCCTGGAGGAAATCCAGAACCTCCAGGACTGTGGCCGATGTCGGTTCTACCTGAGCCGAGCAGCACCAGCCGTGAAGGAGACCCAGGTTGCGTCATAGATGCAAGTGGTGGATCTTCTCCTGGCAGCCTTGATGGTCCCGATGACCTTGGTGGAAATCTGGGCCTCCCTTAATTGTGCCGCTCAATCTCCAGACGGTAAATTGGAGCCAGTCTGGGTCTGGGTGGACCAGACTCCCCTGGGTAAGGGTTACCTCCACCCGAGGGATCTTCGGATGGGGGGGGGCGATTGACATCTCTATCAGATCTGCAAACCAGGGGCATCGGGGCCAGTAGGGAGCCACCAGAATGACCTCTGCCCTCTCTAGTACTAGTTTCCTGAGCACCCCGGGTAGGAGAGGGGAAAGGAAGCATAGAGAATTGCAGCGCAGGAAGTCGTTGTCCATCGCTTCCTGTGTCTGGAACTGTGATATGAATCTCGGAAGCTGGGTGTTCGTCGGGGAAGCGAAGAGATCCACCGACAGTCATCTGAATCTTTGGCTGATCCAGCTGAAGATGCTGGGGTGAAGTTGACACTCTCCGTGGTCCACTGTCTCCCTGCTGAACCAGTCCGCATGATGATTCTCCACTCCGGAGTTGTGTTGTGCTTGGATAGATAGGAGGTTCCATTCCGCCCAGTTCCCCAATCTCACGGCCTTGTCCCGCAGTGCCCTTGAGTGGGTGCCTCCCTGTTTGTTCACGTGTGACTTGGCCGCCACATTGTCCGTGAGAACTAGGACGTGTTTCCTGGCTACTGTCGTCTTGAATAGTCATAGAGCCAGGTAGATCGCCCTGAGCTCCAACCAGCTGATACTCTTGTGAAGGTTGGTCGGTGTCCACCACCCCTGGGCCAGCTGGGAACCCAGGTGTGCTCCCCAACTGAACAGGCTTGCGTCTATCATTAGAACAAGTCTGTCCGGCTCCCTGAACAGGGAGCCCTTTGACAGGGCTGGGGACATCCACCAGCAGAGAGACAGGAGTATCTGGGGCATCACCCTGACCTTGAATTCTGTGTCACTTGTCCTGTCCCTCTGGTGGGGAAGAAGGAACCACTGCAGTTCCCTGACATGGAGTCGGGCCTAAGGCACTATCCCGATGCAGGAGATGAACTTGCCAAGAAGCCTGGAAAGGAGAGCTACGGGAACAGATTGAAGCATGCGAATCTCTAGAATTATTTGTACGATGCTGTCCCTGCTCTCCACTGAGAGGAAAACCTCCCCCCCCCCACACCAAGTCAATAATGGTTCCCAGATGCTGGAGTCTGGTGGTGGGATTCAGGTGACTCTTCACAAGGTTGACCGAGAACCCCAGAGACCTAAGGGTGGTGATGGTGAGGCTTAAGTCCTCTGCTCGAGCCAGTGAGGGTGCTAATACAAGGATGTCATCAAGGTAACAGTTCAACTAGACCAGGATAGAGTGGAGGTAGGCTGTCACCACGACAAGTACCTTGGTGAACGTCCTAGGGGCGGAAGCTAGGCCGAAGGGAAGAGCCCTGTACTGATGAGTGCCCCCATATGAAAACCTGAGGAATTTGCGGTGGTCGGGCGCAATCATAATGTGCAAGTAAGCCTTGGTAAGGTCAATGGAGGCTAGGAAATCCCCCTGTCTAATTCCCTCTAGGATAGACTTGAGTGAGACCATCTTGAACCTAAAGTAGACCAGCCTAGAATTGAGTAACTTAAGGTCTAGGATGGCCCTCCACCCTCCGGAGCTCTTGGGGACCACAAAGAGATTCGAATAAAATCCTGATTTCTTCTCCCCCTCTGGTACCAGCTCCACTGCTCTGATTTCCAGTAAATGCTGGATGGCCTTGCGCATGAGAGAGCGCTTGGCCGGGTTCCTGGAGGAAGAGAAGACCTGGAATCCATTCGGGGGTTGTGAGCGAAATTCCAGGTGGAACCTGAATCTGACTGTCTGTAACACCCATGCATGTGTAGTGATGTCAGCCCAGTGATCCACGAACAGAGAAAGGTGGCCACCGATAGGATGATTTGATCCCGAGTCACTTGTTTCTGCAGAAGGGGCTGCCGCCTCCCCCTCGAAAGGGACGCTTGCTAGATTGTTGGAACCTGTACCTGTTCCTAGAGAACTGTCTATCCCCCTGTCTGGGGATCCTGGGCGCAGAGTACCTTGGTTGTTGGAAGTCCTGTTCGGCTGCTCGAAAGTTGGACCTTCTGAGATATGGTGCCGAACGGTAATCCAATCGCTTGGATGTGGACGGAAAGACCTTCCACTTGTTCTGGTCCTCAACAACGATGGGGTCCAGGGATGGACCAAACAGCTTTCCTCCCGTGTACTCTGTGCCTGCCAAATGCCACTTTGCCTGGAACTCCGCCTGCCAGTTACGCAGCCACAGCAAGCGTCTGGATGCCACTGACAAGGATAGAGTCCTGGAAGAGTACCTTACTGTGTCCAGTGTGGCGTCCGCCAAGAACTGGGTGGCCACCATCACCTTGGTGATGTCCTGCAGGAGACTAGCGTCCGAAGCCGGAGTTCTATCTCGGAGCTGTTTCAGCCATAGCAAGGTGGACCTGTTAAAAAAAGGAGGCTGCTGTGGCAGCCCTGATTGCCCACAATACCGCCTGGAACATCCTGCGTATGACTAATTCTGCCTTCCTGTCCTCCGGTTTCAGGCAGTTGGAAATGTCTCCCATTACCACTGGTGAGGAGGATGCCAGGCTTATCACCGGGACGTCCACTGAGGGAACCTGCAAGGCTTGATCAAAGTTAGCATTAATATTATAGAATCTGCGATCATTGCTCCCCAGGGTGGGAAAGGTGCCTGGTTGAGCCCATTGTGACTTGAGCACTTCTAGGAATAGGTCTGGGGTAGGGATTTCCTCCTTTTCCACCTGGGGTCTGTAGAAAGGACCTTTCTTGGCTCCCCTGCTCATGCCAACCTTAGCAGTGTCCTGACTGGCTATTGGAACGTCCAGGTCTGCCGTGACCTTAGCTTTATGCAACAGGGAGCTAAAGAGAGCGGATGGAAAGAGGCCCAAGATGGATGGGGCTTCAGGGGCTTGGACCTCCTCATCATCAGAGAAACCGACCTCCTTAATTTCCCCCTCCTCTCACCCTGACTCCTCACTAGCCGTGGAGGAAGAATCCTCTCTGAGGTCTCTGGAGGTGGAAGAACCAGGTCTTGGTCTAGATGACCTTGATATAGATTACGAGCTGCTTTGCTCCTAGGCCGCTGAAACTGATGCTGCATGCCCGAGGAGATGCCCTGGGCAATAGCTCTGGCTAAGACCTCTTGGAAACTCTGGGAGAGCTCTGGGTAGGCAGGAGATAATCTGGTGGGCTCTGGATCCACATTTGGATCAGGGCTTCGTGGAGCCAGGCATTGTCTTGGCAACCTGCTAGGGCAGCAGCTGAAGGGGTCTCCTCGCGCTCCGGAAGGATGAGCTGGAGATAGCGGGGGATAGGGAGCTACCACCCCTTAGGGAACCATGTGGCAAGGCTGTTAGGCCGGGAGGATCCCCAGGGGAGATGGCCCTGACTGGGGACCAGGATCTGGCCAGGGAAGGGCTGATCATGTCCCTATTTCTCCTGCCTGCCGCCCTGGTTACTCTCACCTCCTTCTTAGAGTGCTCCCTCCGCGATTTGGATGTGCACTTCCTTGCAGTGGATCTGCCCTCTCTGCAGGGTAGGTCCCTTCTCCTGGGTCTGCACCCCTGGGGAAGCTCTGCCCAGCCCTGCGCTCCTCAAATTGTCCACCATTGCAGCCCCACTCACAGTTAGTCGATCCGCATCCGTCGAGGCCGGCCAGCCGGTTGTTTGCAAAGGCTCATTCTCTATCGGCTCCTCGCTCTTCCTCCACCGCCGATTCGTGACTAGAGCTGGGACCGGCCCATCGCCAGATGCTGCGGCCCTCCCCGGATTACCGGTGGAGTTCAGGCCCGGTCCTCTTCTGTGAGCTGGCAGTGGTCACAAGCGACTGCAGTCTCTGCAATCAGAGACTGGAACTGCGCTCCGTGCATGCGCTCTCTCACCCAAGATGGTGACCGCCGACCACGTGATCCGACCATGTGAGCCGCTCCGACTGAGCCACTCTCTTCCTTCTTGCTTGGAGGTCCTCACGAAGAAGCCTGAGCTGAAGTCGTGCCGTATGCACGGGGTCTGGGCTCCCCCTGCCACACCGCCAGGCCACTGCTCGGAAGCCTCTCAGCAGCGCTACCACTCCTGTGTAAGGCCGATCGCAGAGCGCACGAGAGAAGGTCAGTTGCATGCAATAAGGAAAAAATTTCAAAAGGGAAAAAATCTTGCACCGAGGAGAGCCAGGTATTTAGCTCCTTCTGGGCCAAAGACTGAGATTAATCTTGGGAGTCAGAGGAGTGGTAGAGGTGTGGCCTCAAGATTTACCTCAGTGTCCGGGCAGATGGGCCGTGACAATACCCAGCTGTGACTCCTCCCACGCCCCACTTTGGAGACTAGGCTGGGGGCAGGATTAAAAACACAATGACTATATATGTATACTTTTGTGTTATATTGGGGGTTTTTACTAAAAAGAGGAGAAAAATTAAATATGTATATCAAAAAGGAATTATAAATGCCATCAACATAAAATGGAGCTCACTCAGAAGCTGAAATACACCAAGTAAATGAGATGAAAAAGTAGAGGAGAAAGGTAAGGGAAGAAGAGAGAGATAGGAGATGACAAGGGGAGGGGAAGAGGAGGAGAGAAAGGAGGAGTGGAAGGGGGGAGAGGAAGTAGAGAGACAGAGAAAAGGAGGATAGGGAGGGGGAGGAGAGAGAGAGTAGGAAATGATTGATAAAATACAAATATGGTGTATGGAGAGCAGAAGAGCCAATAATTAGTTTTTGGGGTTGATAAGATGAATTGATAAAACATTTAATAATACAATATGATGTTAGTTATGTATTAGTATACATATGTTATGAAAATGAAAAAATAAAAAACTGTAATGAAAAAAATGGAAGTTGGATTAATGGAATTAGTTGTGTACACTGTATGCCAAGATAAAGACAACATGAATTTATGGTTACATAATTGTTTTATGGATGATTAATCTATCTGCATCTCATCTGCATCACTAATTCCTTTGCATGTTTACACAACAACAAGCATTTTAATTAATAATTAGCCTAGTTTTACATCCTCCACTAGAGAAAATGCTATTGTGCTTACTCACCCACTACTTTATCGTTGAAGATTTTAGGGAATCCCCGGTTGGGATATCTGCCTCTAAGCTGCCAGACATCAAAAAATGGTTTCCAGTCAATATAGTCCACCAGCTTCTGTAAGTCATAATCTTCAAAGACTCTAGTGCCAAGAAACTGTGGTTTAACTATGAAAATTCAACAAACAAATTTTGTATTTCAACATATGTTTTTTACAACAGACTCAATTTTAATGTGCTTTTAGTACAACACTTGATGCTGAAGGATTATCGTATGCTTAACGTCAGTTAGCCAAGGCTTTGGACCCTATTGAATGCAGGGAACATCAATGAATCTAACAAACAGGACTGCTATTGACTATACATTTATTTCCCTTGAACTAACCAGCTGGAAAATAATAAAAATATATGTATGGTTTTTCTCCAGCATAAGATGGCAAAAAAGGAACAGAAATAGTAAGCTGTTGCATATGGGAAATCATAACTTTACAAATCCCTTGGTTACTAAAGCCATGGTGCCTTTCATCTGTCAGGGATGCTTTAATCTGGATTCCTCATGTCAACTTTGCAATTAGCTTTCAGAGAATGTAGAGCTGATTTGTAGTAGCTGTTTATAATTCTCCACGAAAATTCTATATAGCAGTTTTAACCTATTTGCTTCTTACTTCATATAAGGCAGGCATAGACCAAGAATTCTTTTCCTATGACCTTCTCTTAATGTTTTTGGAATCCCAATTATTCTAAATACATAGTATTCTTTTAAAGGTGCTAGCAGTGAGCATAGCAGATTGATTGATTGACCGATTAAGTATTTTTATCAGCAAGTAAATAAGGATCAAGTAAGAATCACATTTTTATCCTGTAATCAAATGACTCTTAGGGAGAATGTAAAACTGATAAAATATTCACTATATAAAATTCCATAAAAACAGCATAAACACTCACTCCTAAAAATACAAATAATAAAAAGAGAAGTTAAAGATGATGTGATAACTTCAGGGAAAGACTTCTCAAAACAACTCCATCTTTAAAAGTTTTGGGGGCTAACCTGACCTCAACTGGGAGGCACAAGGCCAGCGCTACCACTGAGAGAAGCACTTTCTGGCCTCAGCAATTCGAACTCTCATCAAAAGTGTTAGGAATAACGTTTTCTCTCTGTTAGCACTGATTGGTTGGGCCAATTCTTGCTGATATGAACAGTCCTACAGAAATCCATGACAAGCTATATTAAGGAAAGCAGCCGGCCAATCTTTATATACAAAACAGCCCTATTAATTCTTATATATTTTAAAAGTACTTTAAACTTAATATATTATTTAATTTTAAATTAAAATAAAGTTAATTAACTAGAGAAGCAAGAGAGCAATTTATAACAGTTCTCCAAGTAATTCTTTAAAAAAGTAGAGACTCTTAAAAATAAACAGAACAATATGGTAACCAGTTGAATTTCTGAGAGTAAAAATATTTACAAATTAATTTTCATTAAGTTATAAATACTGAAAACTAGATTTAAATCCAATTTCAATTCACTATGGAGTTTTGTTTTTTTTAAAATGTCCGTGTTCCTAATAGAAGAAAATATATCTACTGTAGCTCAGTTGAAGATGTTACCTAGTTGGGTAATGAAAATTCTACAAGAAAACAACCAAGCTCAGAGAGTACTAAGGATTCTACATATCTTTATTTTGGTAAAACAGAAAACAGTTTTAAAACTTAACCTGGTTTAGTCTCAGTTTTCCAGTCACAATAGAAGCGTTTATTTCTTGCTTGCTCTAAAGACAAGTATTTTCTTTCCTACATATGGGAGGAAAAAATCTAGAGATTAGTACAGTATGGTTTAAATCTAGCAATTAATTCATTTAGAGAAAAGCAAATGGAGCTAGCAATAATTAATACAAGTCTAGTAGGCACCCTTATCAGCAGGAAGAACACTTTTTCCTACAGTCACATAAAAGTGAATATAGCTATATCAATCAAATAAATTAATTATGAATATTTTTTTAAAATCAAGAGATTCCCAATAAATATCTCCAGGTGTATACTGTAGATTAAGAATCTCCATCTTCACCAGGAAGAGATACTCCCTTTTATATAGACACAAACCCATAAGAGACACAATCTGGCAAAAAAAGAGTCCCCTTAAAAACAAAGGCAGAACTCAAAAAGGAAACAGGAAGAAGCTGGAAGTGAAAATTTGAAAGAAAGAAAAAAACCCACAGGTCTAAGAGTTTCCCACAACTTCAGATTAAAATCTGAAATTTCCGGAGGGGAAAAGAAATCTGGATAAAGAAGCAGAGGAGATAAGAGTTACAGAAATTATGTTCATGTCTTGCCATTTGACCTTTCAATCACCAGTAAGGCGGTGCTGGTATTGTGACCATATCCCTCAGTCACAAAGTAGGGGTTTGAGGGAGGATATTAGATAAGATGTCCCCTGAAAGACAAATGATAGCATCTTGAACTAGCAAGTTGCTAACACAAAGCAGGAGACAGGACCAGAGTGGAAGATCCAATGGGCTTCTGGGAGACATTTGACATAGCCAGGATTACACCCTACACAATGCTCCTGTGATATTAAAAAGTAGTTTTACCACTATTTACCTTGAGTGAGTCATAATGATCCTGTCGAATGTCTTCATACTCGTCTCGTATTTCTTCAAAAAAGTCATCTTTTAGAGTTTCATCTAAAAGCTGAGAGCACTGTAACAAATACAACATGATGTTTAAATCTGTGATTAGGGCATCCATTATTTTTCAAATTCTTTCTTTTGAGAACTTACATACCTTAATGAGGTGACACTCCAAAACAGCATGTGTAGTAACTACCTTAACTTTTGTTGTAAAAATCACAGAATTACTGATACATCATATTTTCATATGAATACTATTTCAACTAAAAGAATGCCAAGTACTGAAGACCTTACTTGCAACTTCAAATATGAAAAAAAAATGAATTAGTTAAGAAAGCAGATCTGAAATGAGAACATGATGAGAAAGATTTTCCCTTCATTCCTGGATGAAATGAAGGCTGACTATTTCCTTAAGTGGATGAAATCCAGGTGCACCTGATGAGAGGCAGAGTTTTGCCCTGGAATTGATGATTAAGGATTTCCTCCTATTCCCTCGCACTAGTTGCCCTGCTGCCTTAAGAAGATTGACATCTGACCACATATACTTATTTATTTATTTCATCACACATGTATAAGTATAAACATACATAAGTATAAACATGATTTTAGATACATGAAATATATGAAATGGATATTAATAAAAGGGAAGATTAGGACAGGGACAGTAGGCACCTTGGTGTGCTTATACACGCCCCTTACAGACCTTTTAGGAATGGGGTGAGGTCGACAGTAGACAGTCTAAAGTTAAAGTTTTGGGGGTTTGGGGAAGAAACCAGAGTCAGGTAGTTCTTTCCAGGCATTGACCACTCTGTTGCTGAAGTTGTATTTTCTGCAATCAAGTTTGGAGCGGTTTACCTTAAATTTGTATCTGTTGTTTGCTCATGTATTGTTGTGGTTGAAGCTGAAGTAGTCATTGACAGGAAGGACATTGTAGCAGATAATTTTATGTACTACGCTTAGGTCAGACCGCTTACTTCATACGCTTAGAGCTATGCAGTCCAAAGAGGAGAGATTTGAAAAACATGATCTCACTGAAAAAGTATTAATATGATGTCAGACAGCAATGTGAAAATCTCTCAAACCAGTTCCTTCACTATACAAGAGGCAGACTAATAAGAACTGAGACACTGCTTAAAGTCAATCATGGCTGAAGAAGCAATACAAAAGTCTAATAAATTCTGTCCTTAACTTTCTTGGAGATTAAAAAACCTGCTACCAGTTTTTTTCCTCTGATTTTACAACCAAGGAAGAGGTCTTTTTTCCCCCCCTCAAGATTCAAAATGAAGAAAAAGAAACTCAACAAATCTGAAAGTTCATACTGCAGAGTTCAAAAGGAACGTCATGGAGTTCAGAATATTTACAGACATTTGCAAGGAAGTGGGTTTCCATCAAAAATATTTTAGGACATTTGGAATAAGGTTTCTTTTAGGATATTTGGAATAAAGTTTCTGTACAAATGCAAAATTGTTCAAAGACCAAAATGAAAAAGTAAGTTATCCAAATGAGCCAGCTGCAGCAAATAAGAGTAAAATACTATAGAAATTGAAAGAAATTAAGATCACTCCGCACAGGATTTTTTATTAGTAAGGGTTGTAGCACAGTAATTAGGGTCCCTCATGTTAAAATCCAACAATATTTTAGCAATCTATGTCTAGGAGAAAAAAGAGATCTGAAACCAGGGTAGTTACTACTCATGTTCCTTTGGACTATCACTTCATGAGAGTATTTACTTATTACAGATTTAAGGGATTACAATTTGCAGAATTACCAATTAACATAGCCAAGATGGTTGGGAGTTATAATCTTTATCCATCTGGGATGCACCAGATTAGAGCAGCCTGGTATACATTTTCAGATAGAAATCTTATCACAACTTACAACAACCACACTTTTGGAGGCATCCAGGACATGAATGACAGGAGCACTATACCGTGGAGCAATTTTTACAGCTGTATGAGTTCTGTAATAACATAAAAGGAAACCTAAGAAAACAATAACCATATGAACAAACAGTCAAAAACATCAATGTGCAAATATGATTATATTATGATGGAAAATCTGTAACTCCTTGGCAAATTCATCTTCTCATTTAAGGAAATGACAGCTAACATGGACATCACAAAGTCAGAGAAATATATTCATTATATATATGACTGCAAAATCCTTTTTATTTTCAACAAGTTCTAACATAATATACTGGAAACTAATCAATATCTAAGAGGCTTTATTTCTCAGATAAATACTGCCTACCTGAGCCAGATGACACCTTCTTAGGTGTCTTCCAATTTTATCATTCTCTGAATCTCCCAAATTCTCTTCTCAAACTCCCCAGAATGCCAGCTTTTCATATTTTAAAAACTATGATTTCATTTTCAGTGCTGCAAAGGCAATTCTCACTACACAATGGTACAAATTTACAACACACACCTCATAACAAAATCAGGTACTTAATTATCGACTGCTGTTAGAACACCCATCTATAACTAGAAGAAACAGTTTGAAATTCTTCTTATAGTTTAGGTTTTCTCAGCCCATTACATTTTTATCTTTATTCTGTGACGTATTACAATTCTCCTGGGACCTTTGCATGAAAATTTAGTTAATGAAAAACACATATGGCTTGATCCTCAATGTTGCAAAACGAAGATCATTTTTGCTAAATGAAATGTGTACTTGTACCAAAAATAAATCAGGTTTATACATCTATTTTTCAGTGAGGAAATCAATAACTTCTTTGAAACTTAAATTAGGATTCAGGCACTTGATTTTCAGATTTGGTACATTTAAAATGGTATAAAAATGGTATAAACAAACATAACTAATAAATATTGATTAAAATAATCTAAAAGGAACATAAAACAGTTACTTTTGGAAATGGTATTCTTTTTTACATAAGCAATTCTATGTATTTAAGTCAACATCCTCCGCCAACAACAGCAACCTAACTTACTTGGAAGTAGTTGCTCCTCCAATCAGTAAAGGGATCCTTATTTCTAGTCTTTCCATTTCTTTGGCAACAGATATCATCTCATCCAAAGATGGAGTGATAAGACCAGACAAGCCAATTATATCTATAAATATAAATAGTCAAATATTTCCAAAATTTTCTGTATGATTTCAGAATCTATGTTAAACTTTAAGGTAAAAATACCATTCAATTGTTAAATGAAGCCATGGCTTAGACCTTTCTCTTAACTTTCTATAGCTAGAGTTATCACCCTGGACTCCTGGATATTCAACTCGTGAAATGGATAGGGTTAGAATTTCTAAATATCTCAAATATCTATGGTGAATACAACACTGTTGTCTTTTTAACCAGATAGTTATAACTTTATTCTTCCAGTCATTTTAAAAATGAAAACATTAAAATATATTTGAATTCTAACTTAATTTTAAACCACTAGATATTTTTTAAACCATTAGATAATTTGGTGAAAATTAACATAGAACCTACCCTTAAATAAATAAATCTGAATTCTATAAGCTGGCTACATTTGTACATGGTAAACTAAATAATTGCACTGAAGTTGAGCCAAAATAACCACATCCGCCAATGGACTGCCTAATATCAAATCAAAATTTTATCCTTTTTTCTGACAAATCCTAATGTATTTTAAGGATTCTGTTTTCAAGAAGAAAGATTGTACCAGTTATCACCTTAGTTACATTTGCTTAGTAAGCTTAGTGAGAACTAGCATTTGAAGATGCACATTTTCAAATGATGTAAATATATTCTTGAAACTCCATAAAATTGGACAAATACAAATCAAATTAGTGTGTACCTGCTTTGTTTTCAAGAGCAGCTTTAAGTATCTTGTCACATGGTGTCATAACTCCCAAATCTATAACTCTGAGGAAGGAAATGGAAGTTTGCTAATCAATTTGTACATATGCTCAATTAATCCATGTCTGTTAATAGTCCACACAAAGGTTCAATCATCCTGTGAGGAAGCTCAAGAGAACAACATTTAGTTTTTAATCTTCCCCTATACCTGAGTCTTCTTATAAAACAACTTCCCCATTCTTGATTATTACTGCACTTTCTTGAGTTACACTTCCAGTGTATTAAATTAAATTAAATCCAGTGACTTCTTATTTACCAATAAAGAGAATATTTGTAGCTCAGGGTTGAAATTTCTTATTTAAGAAGAACAGATAATTGAGAAATGAACTTCTTGGGCAGTAATACCGCTACCAAGTATTTCAAGAAAGCTTGCCATATTGAAGACTTCGACCTATGAACTGGCTATCCAATGTCCAGACCAAAATTCCCAGATTAAAAATATATCTGAATATTCTCAGGGAGAAATTGAACAGTTTCAAGTTCAATCATGTACTTCGATCAAGTTTCTGTAGAACTTTTATGTTACCCTATACAATTTCATAATTTATTCCAAAAAGTTCTTGAGACTAAGTTTAAAATACTTGAGGTCAAAATCTTCTGCCTTTGTGGTGATGTTTTTATTACAGTACACAGTATTCTGTAGAGATTCATGCAAGTTTAATACATTTACAAAGAAAAAATATATGTCTGCCCAGCTCACTCACAATAACTTGGGTTGGCTTACAGAAATAAAACCCCAAATACAAAACCCAACAAACCCTCACTGTCCCACAACAGTAACAATCAGACAAACTACTCCATATCACCCTGGGGTACCCAGGTCTGCTGGCAAAACTATGTCAGCCTTTACTAAATCTCTTCCTGTGTGAACACATACACTTTATATATACCACCTGGTTTTAGACTCAGTACTTTTTAAATTATATAAATAAACATATATAATAAATATTTATTAAAACATTTTAAACTGCCCTAACAAAGCTAGCACTTTAGCCAAATTATTAAATGTCCCACTTGCAGGAGACATTTCTAGCCGGTCAACTAATTACAGTACAAGGAGGTATGTATAAGATCAAAAGGTTGAGTCTCATTACCTGAAATTATTGCAGCCCAGAACGACTCCTACAATGTTCTTGCCAATATCGTGGACATCACCTTTCACAGTAGCTAACACAATAGTGCCTTGATAAGGATTCTGCAAAAGTTAAACCATTTTCAGAATTTATATAGATTTCATTTCTGAACAATTCCGATCATATGAATGACTGCCTTACTGCAACAACTGTTATGTTCAACTGTTTAAAGCAGAGACAAATCCATATGAATATCAATTATTTTTGATTTCTGAATAAAAGTTTTACTTAATTCAGCTAAATCATAGGATGAAAATCCTCCAGTGGTCAAAAGAGCCTGCCCCAAACCGCTTTACAACTTGGAAGAAAATCCCAGCTGACAGACACAAAATAATATTTAACCTACATAAGACAGGATATGACAATAAACAGAAGGATGGAAAAGACTGCTTCAGTGCCCCTATAGCCCAGTTCCCTACATAGTTTGGAGAATCATTATGATGTAATGGCTAAAAGGGAAAGCTTGGAGAACTAAGTGGACCTGGATATTTGAAAGACCAAGTACTGACTCTTGGGCAGAGGAATTGCTTCTGAAGTGAAAAGGCTGCAATTGTGAAGGAAAGGCAAGCACAGCAATTAGCCTAGGTAGAGAGGATTGTAGTCCCACCTCCTTTGACTTTGACCATAAAGGAGGACTCTTCTTCTCCCAAATAGTGATCCTTTCTGTTCCTCTCCATTACCAAAAGCTAAGGGAGGGGGGCTCCCACCTCAAAGGTGGCCTGTTTTCTAATGATGTCCTTGGCCCTAGCTTGCAGGACTGGGCACCACTGAGCATTTGGACAGGTTCTTCTCCCTTGTTATAGTCCACAGTGAATGAAGACCAAAAGTGAGAGGAGGAGTGTCCGTGAAACTGATTTGGAACAGAAGTAAATAGAAGGAATAAGTGAATGACAGATTACAAATGACTGGTTTCAAATTATCTGTACATGATATTTATTTGAGTTGGGCTACGAAGTTTGGGTGAGAATTATTCTTTCTTGGTGTAATTAATAAAAATAGGAATATTTCTGCTATTTTAAGACCCTGTCTTTTCTTTCATCTCCTTGATATAATGAATATCAATCTACATTTGGTTAGGCAACCAGACTACTATCATGCTGTCACAACCATCATTTTGTAAATATATTGTCCATAGAAACAAAAACAAAAAATCCTGGGGAATTGTTGGTTAGTACTTAGAGAAAATGTAGACAAACTGTATGCCACTTATTTTGGTTTATGACTGTGACTCCCACCATTTCAATCACAATACATGATAAAGATGTAAAATTATAGTGCAAACCATCATAAGAATAGCAGATTGTCAACATCAGACTAACTAGACTTGAAAACTTTGGACTGAAATGCTCACGAACCATAATGTGTCATCTTAGGCTTGTCATTATGTCTCAGCCTAATTGTCCTTGATTAAGACAGAAATGAGAACTAAGAGCATCATATAAATACATTTCAAAAGATCTTTCCCCTAGCAAGGAATCACCTTGCATCTTAAGCAGTTTGCTGCAACTCAACAGACCACAAAGTGAAAAATACAGTTATTTCTTCAATCCATTAATTTGATCCTTATGAGAATGAAATTTAACAATATTATTGCTGTGGGAGTCAGCCTTTTTGAATACAAAACACAAGGGCCTTTTAAAAAATTACTTTTGTCAAAATAACAGAATATTCCTCATGGCTTCAATAAAGGCACTATTTGTACACAGGGATCTATCAGCAGCACAAGTGACTTCTATTCAATAAAAAGAAGTAGATCAGAGCATTGTAGCACAGCCTTCCCCAACTTGGTGCTTTCCAAATATGCTGGAACTGCAACTCCCTAAATTCTTAGCCATAATGGAAGCAAGCAGCCTTAGCATTTTCTCTCCTGAAGCCCCTACTTCTAGGATTCTCTATTGATTTCTTCAGTGAATGCTTTCATATCAATGTTTACACATTATATTAATTTCTTCAAGCCAAGAGCATTTCATTAATCTATACATGATAGTGGCATATCTATGGTTTTAATTTTGTTTCTTATTCATGAAAAACAGTAAGTGTTGGGGAGACAGTTTTAAAAAAGAAACAGAGGCACACACATAAATGTTTGCTTCTTTTAGTATATATATTTTGCTAATATTGGCATGTTTTTCTCAAATGAAGCCCTTGTATTCAAACAGGTAGGAATTCTGCGAAGAGATAAATGAAAAAAGTCACCATGACTACATAACTATGGCTCTTTAAGGCTGTAAATATTTATCCTGATTACAGCATAGCTCATTTTCAAAACAAACAGGTATGTAACCCAGAGGCATCCAGGGGGAGAAATCAACAACATACAGCAGGCATGCACAATCATGCTCTCAAAGCTCTGCTCCTTTTAAATAGCTGTGGCATACATCATATGAACGTAAAAATATTAAGACTTCAGTCTTGGCTGCCATGTTAAAGCTGTTATCTTCCCTTCCTTCTGCTGGCAACCTGACTACCCCTTAATGTAAACAAAAGCTTTTGATGCCTGAGAATTTCTGTGTTACTATAATGCTTAACTTTTTCTGTCTTCTTAAAAACGTAGCAGAATTTGGGGGAAATGAACATGCCACAATATGCCAAGGTTCAACATAATTATGCATTACACTCATGAAAGCCTGCGTGACTGGAGCTGAAGGGCATGCTCATTTAATCAAGTCAGGGGGAAAAAAGTCACAGTGGAATGGTCAAACAATAATCACAGGCCTAATTGCTTGGGGAATCCTAAAACTGATGGGAATGGGAAGGGGGGGGGGGGGGGAATGGGCTAAGCTCAGACTAGGCTGCAGTGTGGACCAGTGCATATATTTATTCTTAAGACATCTTCGGGATAAAAACAAGATGTTTTCTAACATTAAATGATTTGAAGCAGACTAATTGGGAATAGGACTAAATAGCTTTCCTCTTCATTCCTGGTATAAGCCTGCAGCAAAGCCATCCATTCTGAAAGATAATAACTAGTGCTCTATATTTGCTGTTCTTCTGGCACTACAGCGAGTATTCTGGGAGGTAACTGCACTCAGGAGAGCTTCTATGCCAGGAGATATGCACCTCATTTCGAGTTTGGATAGGACAGCAGCAATGATAAAATTCATATTCAGAAGCCAGCAGATTCCCACACACACTAGAACAGCAGCATTTAGCATTTCCAAAAGACTGCAGCATTACCAACTATTAGCTAATAATAATACAGGACTGGCCTAATTCCATACTGATTCACAACACACTTCCCCCTTTTTAGATAAACAAGTGGCTGCTAAATAAATACATCTTAAAGCAAGTAAGCTTTTTGATTGTTGTGTTTTTCACTCAGCATTTTGCTTTACCTCATTTCATTCCCTCCCCAAATGCCAAAGACAGCATAAAATTCACAATTTGTTCTTAAATCAACCCAGCCTTCGCAACAATTTGAACTACAAGAACAACTGCTGTTATTTCATTTTTTCATGCCTGTTAGGAATGAAAGAAATCTGCTACAGCACAAAGCATCAGGTTTCTTCCAGCCTCGTGATTGCTTCCAATGAGCAACTACACATTAGCTTGGCAGATGCTTCCTAAGGCATGAGGCTGCAGAACATGGAAGTCCAAGGCTTTTGTTTGCTCTGCCTTTGGAAGTGAACCAATCTGATTCACACCTCCCAAATTCATTTGCATTTCTCCAGAATCCATTTTTCAATTTCAAAACTGTATCACGTTATACATCAAACCACAAAATGCTTTTAAAACAAGAACAGTGTAGATTTTTTAAAAGAAAAGTGCCAATAAAGAGAGTAATAGGATTGGCATGGACTTACTGATGCATTTAGTGACATTAATCCTAAAAAGTCTGAATCATCCATCTCTTCCATGCTGGGACTCTCTAGTAACAACTAGCACCTCTTTGCTCCATACCTTTTTGCTCAGAAACAACAGTTTGAAGTGAGGCTGTATGAGATTGTATAGACAGGCAATCCCCAAAATTAGTGTCAGGCCAGGAAGCTATCTCTTACAATGGGCCTTCAGACCCGCCACATTTAATGCTGTGAGAAAATGGGAAGGGGGTTTATATGGAGTGTGGGAAATATACAGTCATAATAACATTCCTTCTCAGAGAGTCAAGGACATTCTGCCCTGCACCTGGAGGGACATGACTGGGAGGCATCTCCAGTTGGGACAGTGCCTGATTGGGCCATATGTTGGACATGTGGGTGCTGGGCAGGGACTTGCAATTTCATTTGGGTGAGGAAAACCTGGAAGCTTTCAGATTCGGGTTTTCCCAGATGTGCCAATATGACATCTCTAATAAAGTGGAACTTTGAGGAACTTCAAGCCTTGGAATTTTCTTTCATTGGGGGTGTTACTTTGAACCCTGACAATTGGCTTGCAAAATGAAGGCAAGACAATTCGCAATTCGCAATTTAATGAGCTTATATGCCGCCCAATCCCGGAGGATTCTGGGCGGCTTACAAATACGAAATAAAATAAAATAACACATAGGGGAAAGAAACATACACAGTTTAAAAAACACACAACATACATTTGGCTTAACTGGGGGTTGGACCTGAGTTGAAAATAAGCAACCCCAGGCCTGTTGAAACAGCCAGGTTTTGGTGGCTTTTTGGAAGGCCACGAGACCTACCCAATGGGAAGAAAGGGCACAGAAACAAAGCTGGCAATGAAGGTAGACCACATCAGTGGAAAACTCTTATCACTGAAAATGATGCTGTAGAGAAAAACCCAGCTCAACAGAAAGGCAAAAACTATTCTTGCTACTGGTTTGTTTGTTTTTTTGCCTATTGAACATTCATCCAATTAAGTATCAAGTTTACGACTATGGATTCTTATGTAGAATACTATTGCTGTTTGTTTTATTGGCAACATATCAAATGGACAACTTTTATGTTTTCCGATCAGCTACCCATTTCTGTGACTCATGTAAGAGAATCTATTTATTGCAGAAGTTGCTGCCATGGCGTGCCATGAATTCCTGACCCACACAAAAATCTATAACACAACTGCAACAAAAATTAAGTTAAGAGATTCAAGGATTGAAGCTGCAAACTCACATCTTCCTCCGTGCTACCAGACAACGCACGTAATTCTTCTCTATCCTTCTCCATGAATGGGATAAGATGACCCACCGCTTTCTTCATAACTCTAGCGGATTTAATCACCTGGATATTCAGTTTCAGAAAAAGACCCATCAAACGTTTATTCAAGATTATAGTAACCAATGAATTAATCTGCAAGCAAACCATTCCAGGCCCCCAAAACAGAAAATTACCAATAAATACCAACTAAGTAACTTAGTAACTTCTAAGCAACTCCTTTACCAGTTTCTCCATTATCTGGCATTTCCAATATATTACATTAATATAGAGTGGAATGTTTTATTTGGCCAAGTGTGATTAGACACACAAAGAATTTGTCTCTGGTACAGAAGCTCTCAATGTACATGCAAAACAGGGTAATAATAATCACAATAATGACACCAATAATGGGGTAGTAGAAAAGATGAGAATGATAAAAAAATAATACTATAGTCACATAACATGGGAAAATATACTTAGATATAGATCACTACTGTGAGAATTAGGTATTCAACAGAGTGGTGGCACAAGGGAAAAAACTGTCCCTAGGACTAGTTGTTTTGGAATGTAATGCCCTATAGCGGCATCCTGAAGGGAGGAGTTGAAACAGATTGTGTCTAGGATGAGAAGGGTCTGTAGTTATCTTCTCAGTCCTCCTTCTGACCCATGCAATATATTGGTCTTCTATGGAAGGCAGGCTGGTTGCAATTGCTTTTTTTGCAGTCCTAACTATCCGTTGAAATCTGTACCTGTCCTTTAGTTGCTGCACCAAACCAGACAGATATAGAAGTACAAATGACAAACCCAATAATTCCTTTTTAAAGCTGTATCAGCAGCTCCTGGGGCACTCTGAACTTCCTGAGTTGATTCAGGAAGAACATTTTTTGTTGTGCTTTTTTAATGATGGTTCTAATGTTAGGTATCCATTTTAAATCCTGGGAGATTATACAACCCAAAAACTTGAAGGATTCTACTGCTACTGTGCTGTCAAATATAGTAAAAGGTGGTACAATTGAAGGTCCCTCCTAAAATCCACTCTCATCTCTACAGTTTTAATTACTGGTAAAAAAAGAGAGAAAGGAGACTATTGCCTCCATGGCAAATTAGTTCTATTCAAGTTCTAACACATAGCAAGAGGTGGTAGAATAGAAGGACTCCTCCTAAAATCCACTCATCTTTATAGTTTTAAGTGTGTTCAGTGCCAGATTGTTCCAGTTGCACCACAGGGCCAGTTGTTCAACCTCCAATCTATGTATGCAGGCTCATCACACCTCAAATGAGACCAATGACTGTTGTATTATCTGCAAACTTCACTACTTCTATACAAGGATCCTTAGAGATGCAGTCATTGGTATAGAGACAAGAGCAATGGAGAGAGCACACAGGCCTGAGAGGTGCCTATGCTAATTGTTGGGTGCTCGATGTAATTTTCCCTAGCTTCATCTATTGTTTCCTATCTGTCAAAAAACTAGTAATCCACCTACAAGTATGGACAGACACTGCTAACTGAATCAGTTTAGAGTTTCTGAAGTGATGGTATTGAAAGCCAAACTGAAGTCATCAAAAAGGACCCATGCAAAGATCACTGGGGGTTAAGATGTTGCAAGATATAGTGCAATATCATACTGACAGCACCATCTACCTATGTATTTGCTTGGTAGGCAAACTGAAAAAGATCTAACAGCGGATCTATGATGATTTTCAAGTGGGCCAACACTGGCCTCTCAAAGCTCTTCATAACTACAGATGTCAGTAACTGGTCTGAAGTCTTTCAGTTCCCTGATGGAGGGTTTCTTGCAAACTGGGATGATAGTAAAGCATTTTGCCTCCTCAGTCCAAGACTTCACTGTTTTGATCACAGTTTCAAGTTTCTATCTATAAGCAGGGATGAGGTGAATCATACAATCATCAGAGACTCGCAGAGACCCATAGCTAGAGAGAGTGGGAGAGGGAGAGTGATAGGCACCTTTTAATGTACTTTAATATTTAATCTATTTAACCTTTTAATGTGGTGTCACAAATCCACCACAAACCTATCCCACTGGATTTATTGTTATAGTGACTTGCTAGTCAAGCAAAGTATACTAATGTCCTTCAAGTCCTCCAAGACTATCCAATGCCTGTCTAAATAAAGTGAGCCATGCTGAAGTATCAGCCCACATCTGAAAAGCTGTGCCTGGCTGCATTGAATGTGCATAAAAGACTAATTTGGAGAAAGCCAAACATTAAACCTATTAAAACTAAAAACTAACACATGAAAGCAGACGGACAGATTGTGAACATATTGCCAATCAATATGAACAAATAAAAAAGGAGACTAAACTAACCCATGGGGTAAAATGCAGTTTTATCTGCTGGCATACATGGGGAGAGTAGAGGATATTTTCATTTTATGTCCGATAAGCCATTAACCCAGAAAGCCATCTTTATAATTAAATGTAAGAACAGCAATAGTCACTAACAAAAATGAAAATAAAGTAATACCCATTTTAAGGTACAATCTCTAATTGTTAGAGTAGATGTTTCCATACATGAGGTCCCATATTCAATCATCTCATGTTTACTACTAAAGGACCATTTGCAACAGGTGATGCCCAGGCAGTTTGTGGGGGGGAAACTATTCAGGATCAGCCACAGTTAGTACTAAAATGGGGCTGGGGTGCGGGGATTTGAGTGCTTATAAGATAAATCTGGTAGACTGCCACTAGGAGTCTAATCCTAGTAGCATAGGCTAAGCAGGGTTGAATGTAATTTGTATTTGGATGGGAGACCATTAGGAATTTTAAGGACATTGCATATTGTTACAAAGAAAGCTACATGGTTGTAGCAAGGATTCCCACTCCCAGTTCTCAATTAAAGGAAACTGGGTATTTCAGTGGAAGAAATCGGTTGAAGTATCAAAAAGTGAAGAGGCTCCTCACTTTTTTGATACTTCAACCAATTTCTGGGATCAGAATTTGTTCTGTACAGGAATGTCTTTTCCATTACACTTCCATTACAGTGAAACCTGGGATATGAAAATGTGTAGGTGTCTGTGTAAGCCACTACTGCCTCTAGAAAGTTGCTGCCAATGAGAGTAAGCAGTACTGAGGTAAAATGAACAAACTGTTTGGCTAGGTATAAGGCAATCTCCTATATTCTACTACAACATCCTGAAGTGCTAAGAACTGGACATTGATCCTCCTTCAAGCCAAAGAAATCATTAGTGTAATGTTTAATTACACAGCTAAATTGGGATAGGCTAATGGAAACTTCTTTACCTGAGGAAGAAACATCTTGCCAGCTCCAAAAAGATCACCAACTATTTTCATGCCATTCATCAGGGGCCCCTCAATTATATTCAGGGGTCTGGGATACCTCTCTTTGTTTTGTCTAGCCTCTTCGGTATCCTCAATCACATATTTCTCAATGCCCTGGGGGGAAAAAAAACCACCTGGACATTAAAGTGGTTATATCTTCCCACAACAAGCATCATTTACTATTGCATTTTACAAAGCCGGGTGGTCCAAGAACAACCTTCAAAAAGAGACTGTAGTAATTCAAGGGTGTTAAAATAGGCTAATTATACCAAAAGCTGAATTAAAAAAATAAACCTACAGAATAATTAAAGTTAAAAAAACCAAGAAAAATAAAACATATTAGTAATGTCTATTAAAGCATAAGAGGCAATGTTTTCAACCTCTTTCAAAAATAATCCTGAAAGAGTCTGGCAAAGGGACAGAATAAAAGCATTCACCAGCAGGAGGCCTCCTCATTATCTCACTTCCCAAAATTGTGTGTGGATATTCTGAAAAGGATCTCTGAGTTAAGTTTTAAAATAGACAGGCTGTTCTTGAAGTATTCAAAATTACACTTCCTTTTTCATATTGGCAGCTTCTGATCTGCTAAGTGCAATTAACAGCAACTGGTTTCAAGCCAGCTGCAGCAAGGCGTTGTTAAAGCCTTGCCTAAGGTGAACCTCCATTTTTCATTACGAGGTGTTGATGCTTTGAAGGAGATTTTAAATTGAAGCCTGTGAAGAAAGTTCAAAATGTTTTTCAAGCTTGGCGCCTTTTAAGATGTGTGGATTTCCACTCCCGGAATTACCCAGCCAGGTAACGTGTTCAGAATTCTGCAAGTGGAAGTCCACAAATCTTAAAATGGAGTTGAAGAACTCTGTTCTAGATCTAAATTTGTAAGAAATGTGAATGGGCATTTATTTGTATTCTTCAAGAGAAGTTCTTCCGATTGAGATCCCAAATGAGCCATTGGAAGTGCACTGTATTTCTCAATTCATCGGGAACAAATCCTGGAAACGTGAACCCTGGTGGCAAAACAGATTTGGGCTTGTACTGTCCAGCAATGTTTCCCCTTAGGATTAAACTTAGTCAAAGAGGCAATGGAATAAATTTTAGCTCATCAAGCAGGTAAATTCACCTTAACAAGGCCATACTCCAGTCTTTCTTCTACAGCTCCATTTCTCCATTCATCGGTCTGTACCACTTTTTTCCCTCCTTGAGCATGGGTCTGGAATGAGATTAAAGTTTTAACTTTAGAAGTTAAAATGAAATCATTTGCGTCACAACTACTGATAAATATATTGAAACTATCTTCCTATAACTGGAATAAGGGGTTTCTTTTCCAATCAGATAAGACCGCTTTCTGTATCAGAGCTTGGAAGGTCAGTGGATCTCAAACATGTTGGTCTCAGGACCGCTTCACGTTCTTAAAAATGACTGAGGTTCCCAAAGAGATTTGGTATACGTGGGTTATATCTTTTAATATTTATTGCATTAGAAAATTGCATTAAAAATGAGAAATTTTAAAATATTTATTTGATTTCAGGGTCCCCATGAAAGGATATTGGGGACCCCCAGAAGTTCCAGACCACACTTTGAAAATTGCTTTTAGGCCATTGAAAAAACATAATTTTAATAGAGTCCTGGGTCAAAGTGGGATAGCCTTCTTAGATTCTTTGTTGATTCCAAATTTCAGATTCTGTCTACACTTCTATTAAAATGTAGTGTAGAATCAGAGAAATAGGCAAAAGCTACTATTAAAGCAAAGAGGTATAAAACATTCCTCAATTCCTGGGAAACAAGGTAGTATTCAGAAGTGACTATGTAGCAATAGAGGTTTAATAATTGTTCTAGCCTTCCTATGGAGTTAGGTTTCCTGCTCTAGTCTACTTTGTATAGTTGACACAAAGACCCAAAATTTATGTTTTATTTGCCAGAATAATATTCTGCCACTTGGGTAAATACATAGTTTTTGTATAAACACAATATTAAATGTGTCACCTCAGCTCCAAAACGATTTTTGACTGAATGTACAATATATTTAGCCATGTCCTTTATTTTATGTCTTTATTATGACCTTCCAGCCTCAGAAATACTGGGGGGGGGGGGGATAAGCAAAGGGCAGGGTGGAAAGATTATTTACCTCAGCATTATATGATTAAGATCCCTTAAAAAAATCAAGGGCATGTTGAGGCATCTTATATTTAGCTGTATAGAAGGTTCTTTCAGATCAGTGCAGAGTTGCATTGGATCATTAGCATGGGTCTGATGATATGGCACAATTTGCTCATACCTCACACTTGAATACAGATAAACTTGCACAGGACAACAATGGAAAGTGGGTGAAATATATATTTTGGAGTGTTCTGGACTACAAGTAAATCACCACATTATCAAATTGATCAGTATCCAGAAAATTAATGTCTAATGAAAATCTGACCTAAGCTGTTTCATGTGCTCTCTGGTCTTACATAATCAGGGCATATGCATAAGATACTCTACACATCCGAACATTTAACGGCTGCAGATTGATTCCAGAAAGCTTTTGCTTTTAAATGAGGTAAGACAGGAAAGCATAAATATTCCATCAATAGGAATGAAAATGCCAAAAAAATGGAGCTTTGGATTTTTATTTCAGGTAATATAATTTAAATGTATCCCCAGCCAGTCTAGCAGCAATTTATTTTAAAAATCTAATAACTTAACTTGGCTTTAGTACAGTCCCTCTTGGTGATCGTTTATGTTGCATCACGTAATGCATCACTAATGAATCAAACACTGTTCTGAACTGGAATGTGCCTGTCAGCTTAATAGAATGATCCACCCTTTCTACTCTGTTGTGCAATAATATCTCAGTCTCCTTTCACTTAAAATATTTTATTATATACATTATTATTTACAAATGTGCTGTGGTTTATGGAGCATGTCAACCAACAAATTCTGATGCTAGTTATTTTAAACAGTAACACCAGCAAAGTTGCTCCTTCCCTTAGTATTTTCCTTGTAGAAATAGAATAGAAATAGAATTCTTCATTGGCCAAGTGTGATTAGACACACAAGGAATTTGTCTCCGGTGCATAAGCTTCTCAGTGTACATACTACAAAAGTGATAGATCATTATCATAGTCAGTGTAAAAAATACATTCATCATAAAACATTAGATACAACACATAGAGATAGTCATGGATACTAAATAAGAAATCAACATAAATCATACTAAGATATTAAGTAAACAATATAAATTGTAAGATACAAGTAACAAAGTTATAGCCATAAGAAGATAAGAAAATTAGTAGTAGGGAAGATGAGAATAATGATGGTAATACTGCCTTTCTAGATAGTTTGACAGTGTTGTGAGAATTAGTTGTTTATCAGAGTGATGGCAAGGGGGGAAAACTGCCTTTGCGTCTAGTTGTTCTGACGTGCAGTGCCCTATAGTGTTGTTTTGAGAGTAGAAGGTGAAACAATTTATGTCCAGGATGTGAGGGGTCTGTAGATATTTTCACAGCCCTCTTTCTGGCTTGTGCAGTGTACAGGTCCTCAATGGAAGGCAGATTGGTAGCAATGGTTTTTTCTGCAGTTCTAATTATCCGTTGAAGTCTGTGTTTGCTTTCATTGGTTGCAGTGCCAAACCAGAGAGTTATAGAGATGCAGATGACAGACTCGGTAATTCTTCTGTAGAACTGAATGAGAGCAAAAACTACAACTTACAACCTGTCACAGTGACTGCTTGAAGTTATGACGGATCCCCAAAACAGAACTTACATTAAGACTCCTTATCTATAGTCACATGACCATATTTTGGGCTCTCAGCAACAAGCCCAGATTTACAGCCATTAGCATCATCCCCTGATCACGTGACCATGATTTACATCGTTTTCTTCAGAAACTGGTGTTTACTTATACTTTCCAGAAAGAAAACACCTCAAAGAAAACAATGGGTTTGCTTAATGACTTTTTTACTCACTTAGCGACCACCATGTTCACTTAACAACTGCTGCAAAAAAGATCTTAAATTTGGTTGCGGTTACACTTTAAGGCTATCACAAATTATGTTATGACTGAAATTGCAGGCTCAATTACAGTTGAAAGTCGAGAACTACCTATATACCATCTGCTTCAATTATCATCATCATCATCATCATTTTAGCCACTGTTTATCCACTGCAGGATGAAGGCCTCTTCCACGTTTCCAACCAATATGGTCCTGACTTTCTTTTGCCAATAGGGCCCACAATACTTGCTGATGTCATCAATCCATCTTGTTTTAGGTCTCTTTCGTAGATGATTTTTATCAAGTGGGATCCATTCTATGAGTGCCTTGATCCACCTGCCATCAGTTGTTCTTGCTATGTGACCAGCTCATTTCCATTTCAATTCTTTTAATGTCTTGATGGTATTGTATTTTATTTATTCTCTAATACATGTGCAGGTCTTTCCATCTTCTCTTTAATGCCAAGCATGTATCTTTCCACCGCACTTTGCACCACTCGTAGCTTTTATATTGATTGTAAAGTTAATGTCCTGTTTTATCGGCATATGTTAGAGCAGGCAGCACACACTGATCAAAAACTTTTCTCTTCAGGCATGAGGCCAGATTGTTCTTGAAACAATCTCCCCTTATGCCTGAATCTGTTTGAGTATAAAAACAAAAAACAAAAACCAGGTTTTGTAACCTGTAAGGTGTGCAACAAATGAATATTATCACATGCTAATGTGCTCCACATTCCCACTCTCCCAGCCCCTCCCCTTTGCTCACATCTCTGTGATTTGCTGCTCTTTATTAAAAATGGCAACATTTTAAGGTTCCCAAACGCAAAGAACCTGATTAGGATCTCTCTACAGATGTTTATCTCAAGTAGGCACAGCTGGGGATTCAGAAGGCTGTGGATTTTGAAGATGTTGGCATGGAGAAAGATTACTGGATCATTGTTGTTACAGTTGGACATGAGTTTCTGCATTCTCAACTCTGGGACATAACAAATTAGCATGCATCTTACTAAGAAAGAACTCACTTGTTTGCACATTTATAGCAAATACCATATTTTGTATTAATTGTAATTGTCCTGGATTTTTTGCTGTGCTTTATATTTTCTCTTAATTTTCCTTTGTTGTTTTAATAATTAAAAGAAAACCCAGTATCTTATAATTCATACTCTTGAAGCAAAAATGTGTTTCTTGTCATGCTTATCTATGTATTTTCCTAAACTACAATTCTACTTTGTTTTTCTTTGGGAAAGGCAGAAAAGGCCAATATTTTTTCCCAAAATCATCCGAACGCAGCATGATTTTATATAAAGTACTTTGAGGAAGAGGGGGAAGCAAGGGGACATTTGAGGTTACATATATGTAAACAAACCAAGTCACTTAAGAATAAGTGGAGTATGCGCATGTGCGAGAAACGGAATGGCGGCCAGGGCTCCTTCGTCGCAGAAGACCTGACGGAAAAAGCTTCGGGAGCCCGTGGAACCAGCCTCTTACCGCCTCTGCCAGGGTCCTCCGGGATGACAAGAATTCGGAGGACTTGTATGGGCCACGAGCGGAGGGAAACCGACGCCTTCTGCCGATCTGGGGCCTCAGACCTTGTCGGCGAGCGCAGCGGCCGCAGCGGCCGCATGGACATGGTGGAAGCGGAGGCGACGGAGGGCGTTTCGCGGCGGCTCCGGCGGCTTCGGCAGCGGCTGGGCACCTTTGGCGGCGAGTACAGCGATCTTATGGTGGCACTGGGAGCGGAGACGAGTGAGGGCGTTTCGCGGCGGCTTCAGCAACGGTGGGGCTTTTTGGCCCCTTCTTTACAAGCTCTGAAGCCTGGCGAACGGCTTGGCGGACAGCTCGGAGAGTTTGGGGAATTTAGGGTGACTCTGACTGGGTTGACTATTTATCATCGTTGTTTGGAGTTGGGAAATCCAAACGGGGGCTTGGTCCGGCTTAGGCGAAGCGGGCGGCTGACTGGGTGTGCCGTGCTGGAGCCTCTTCCGGATTCCTCCCCCCCCCCTCCATATTTAACTCAGCTTCACAGAGACGCCATTGTCTTCAACAACATTGCTCCCCTTACCAATACTGTCCCTTTTACCAACGCTACTACTGGTACTGTTACTACTCTTTCCAGCAACATAGCCCCCGGTTTCAGCATTGTTTCCTTTACCAACGCTGCCTTATTCTTCGACGCTGCTCTTTTTACCAACGCTGCCTTATTTACCAACATTGGTTCCCTGCCGCCTCGGACTTTGCTTACCAGACTTCCCTTACCCATAGACCTAGGCCCTATGTTCCTGTTTGTCTTAGCTCTGACTATTACCATCATTACTCCTGGTGT